CCCATTGCGGTCATCGCCACCCTTTTACGACCTAAGGCTCAAAGACACTCTCATCGACAACGCTGGCGAGGCTTACTTTACAAATCCTGGAAAGCTTGAACCCACTGGTGAAGAGGACTTCGAAGAGGAGGAGGAGGAGGAGGGGGAGGATGAGGATGAAGATGACGAGGAAGATGAGGCGGAGGAAGATGATGAAGAAGAAGAGGACAGAGTCCTAATCTCTGCTAATCAAAACTGCTGAACAATGGTTAACCTAACTTCTCACTGTCTTCTGTGAAGACGATTGTTCTTTTTATCTTCTCATTCTTCAATAGAGTCTTTCCGGCATTTCAGCAGCGATAATGATTTTTGAGACTCCCGTAAGGAATCGTACCAAACAATTTGATCTAATGGTGTGTGAAGACTGGATGATGCAGTTGCAAAGAGCCTGGACATAAAACGATCAAGGGGAATAGAACATTTATCTTTTTGTTGGCAGATGCAAAATAGATGGTAGATTTTCAGCGTTTACTTGAAGCAGCTTGGGAACACAGACCCCTCTGTCTAAGTTAGAGTCTTCTATTTCACTGCCTTTTATACATTCCAGGTTCCTGAATCCCAGACATTGGGTAGTATGCAAAACTGCCTTTAGTACTCAGTTGAACGGAATACATTTTTCTCCACTGAAGTGCATCTACGAGTGGATCTACTTTTATCATGCCTACAGACTAAAAAAGAAATAATAACGCTCCAAAAACAAAGTGCTCGGCCGAGAGAGAGGAAGTTCAACGCTCATTATGCACGAAACACGAAACAGCATGAACACTTTGATTCACAAACTTTATAAGACAGGGGAACAGGAACTCCCACCACTCCGATAATACAGATGGCCGTGCTCAAAATTCCATAACAATGCTCTTGTTCCAGCGATCGTGTCTCCTTCGCGACTACTTCCTGGAAGTCGCCTCTTCGCTCCTATTGCCTCATCCCTAACCCTAACACTAACCCATATCTTGTCGGTTGGGCTCGAAAACATTCAAGGTCACGTGGGAGGGCGGGTGACAAACAAGCTAAAAACGTCAGGAGACACGAAGGGCTCAGTTCCAGGAGGTAGTTGCCTAGGTGAAGACTCGACCGCTAGAACTTAGACTTTATTCTTCTGAAGTCAAACTCAAACCTCTCATCAGCGACAGCAGGTAGCGAACACAGGGTGCGCAGTAGTCCTAGGCCTTGGTTGCTATGCGAACACACAGTTATTGAACTTGGCTTCACCTGCAGAAATCGCAAGTGCTCGCAATTGACAAAACTGGTCGACCAAATCCAAGACGCCATTCGCCGCAATTTTGTCCCCACTGTTAACAGGCGCGATAATTATTCGGCAGATTGGCCGAAAGCAGATAGGTTTTGCATACGACTGTTTCTACAACTTCGTCAACGCAAGGTGCGTACCTACAGTGAGTGACCTATCTCATGAATTTCAGCCAACATTTCATGAGATAGGTCACTCACTGTACGTTATCTGCGTTTGAGTCAGTCTGCCGGATTATTTTTCACTTGGGCTAAAAACAAAATATGAACTACCGCTTGGGCTAGATTATGGATCCCCCTATCGGTTTAGCCCAGACCTTAAGACAGGGATATGTTCTAGCAGGGGTGGAATCCAGGGGATAGAGGCCTTTTGCCCGCCCGAATCCGGTATTTAAGGCCGTAGAATATGAGGCATTCTGCTGGCGAGGTTATAGCCCCAGTCATAAGTTTAATTCCCCGGATATAGATGAATAAAACCCATTTTCCCATGGATGTTACTGTGGATGGTCAGATTCCGCCCATTACCGAAGTATTTTTTATGTCACAAAAAAAAAACAGCCGAAAGTGGATACTAACAAAGTTAACCCATAATGCAAAAAGACTGTGTTAGTGGGGTTCTAAATGCCATTTCAAGTTAGGGCTCTCAGGTTATCAGCAAATTCGGCTATAGAAATAATTTAGCCATTAGACATCGTGCACAACTTCTTTGCTAAGTTCCCCAGGGTTAGTTTTGGGGAATTGAGCGTTATAAGCATTTCCAGAGGACCTGTTTTCACAGTGTGGGCGTCCCAACGGGCCTTTCCTAGGTGGAAGCATACATCTGTGATTGATTCATAGTTTTTAAGCCGTTTGTAAACGTAAGCTAGCTGTGTGAAGTAATAACTCGCAAGTGTATCATAGGTTGATAGCACTAACACTAGCCAAAAAAGCTGTTTGAGAAGTAGTTCTGTCCAAGGCTTTGCTGAGACCGTTTCGAGATCCTTTCCTCTGTCAAGCATCATGTCAGGGATCTCAGCTTTAATTAAAACGCTCATCATGCACGATCACTCTCAGAGGAGGCCAGGATGGCTGCAACATGTAAGTTTGTAGCTTGAAGGAAAGTAACCTAGTGCTGATGAAGCCAAGAGTGTGGCAGAATGATGTCAGTCGTCGGGTTACTTGCGTCGATGGAGGAGTAACAAGGTTCGACATCTGGTCGTTTGAGAGAATAACTCCCCTAAGGAGGACCTCAAGCAAACCAACTAGGGAGATATCCGACACTGGATAAAAGAATGTTCGGAGGACAGTTATCGGTCTGATACCTAACTTCGATGGATAGTGTTCACATTCATTGAATTTTCCACTTGGAAAATTGACCTGGTGAAATAGAGAAGCATACGCGTCCTGCTACCTAGATAAGCAGCTTGCGCTCATTGCTCGAAAGGAGGGCTAGATCGCAGTTGGTAGCCAGGAATGGGGAAGCGGGCGGCGACCTTAACTCTAATCCTAACCTGAACGCTAGCCCTAACCCTAACCTCGACCGTAAACGTTAGCCGTTAACCCTAACGGCAACCCTAACCCTGACAGAAATTGTAACCGTAGCCGTAGCCATTAGAAATAGCCGTAACTGAAAAACCTAATCGTAATACTGAAACCTAATCATACGCTCAAGCCCTAACCGTAACCCGAAAATCTAAGTCTAAATGCATAACCCTAACCCGAAAATGGGAAAGCATTAACCCGTACCCTAATCCTAACCTCAAACGTAAAACGGAAGCCAAATGGGTCAGTTGTGATGATGGAGCCCTACAAAATAGCCCCAGTAAACAAACCGTCTCGCCAACTCTAATACGGGTCCTGGCTACCAACTGCGATCTAACCGAAAGGAGGGAGTATTACCATCGTCTTTCTTCATCTGGCTGTCCCTGAGTACAATCGTATTCTGGACGTTCTTCTGTGCTTAAGGACGCTGCTGTAGTATTTTTTTAGCCCTGACAGAATCCATTAGTCCTTCCCTGTAGGGGATTTGGCCACAAACCACAGACCAAATGTTTCACTTCCATATGTCAAACAGAAGTTAACCCGCGATTTCTGTCTTCTGTCTTTTTCCCCACTTGTTCCTCATAAGGGCACATCGTCAGACCTATTGCGATGTCCAGGGGCAAATACCTTAATATCATTTGTTGCATATGTACAGGAATATATACTTCGTACATGTTCTGCTTCATAAGAGTACATTCGTTGTGAATTCCTGACATCTCTTCCAAATCAAAGGACGACCAGCGTGGTCTGAATGCACGTTTCTTAGCAACGGACTGTCTGCGTCCCACTACGGTTTTGTGCAGACTGCATCTGCGGAAACTAAAGTCAATACTGAAGGCTATCAAAACATAACCGGTTTCACGCGGTGGACGCTCACTGCTACAAACGAAATTTTCCCTGTCAGCTGACAGGAAAATGAAGTCGAGACAGAATGGCCGTTGGTTCGGAAGAAATCCTGCGAGAAATTTCATGATCTGATTCAAACGGTTGGACGTCCAGCATGAGGACTTTTCTCTCCGGTGATCTGCAATAAGGTCGTTAGATAAACCAACGGCGTAGTGAAGCCCACAAGCATTATTACTTCTTGACTGCGTGTCGACCGGCTATTCATCCTCAGCAGCCTGGATATTTGTTACCGTTAGACAATTATGGTAGAATTGGACGAATGAGTGTTTACATCTTAAGTATTTCTGTTTTTATCTTGAGATTTTCAAGGGATGGAGAGGTAGAGGATTTCAGTTGAAACATGTATTGAGGATACAACTTCTACCAGATCGGTAACCTTGACGAAAATTCCCGCCGGTGGAATAGTAATCAATAGCAAACTGTGGACAAAAGGTGTCTGCATTTGTCCAGGCTTCTGTGATTGCCACTTTATGATAGTTTTCACGGGTCAAAATCAGTGTGAGTTATGCAAACTCGCTTCTTACTCCACAAGCGCTTGAGTTACTCCGTGCAGCTGATCATGTCTGCTTTGAAAGCCAGTTTTATCAGCACTAATGCTGAGGAAGCAGTTCTTCAGGGATGGGTTACGACGTAGCCAACAACAAGTACGAGCGCAGTGCTGAGGCACAACCATGGGAACTTAAATAATTTTTATCACTTCCAAGATGGTCTGTGGTTCTGCTTCACCCACTAGTCGAGCGACCGACCACATGCGCGTCACTTTTTCCCTTTAACAGTGAAACTTACTGACTAGGTCGATGCGCAGACTATCCTGTCTCAGCACAAGAAACGTCCCTAACCGATAACCCCAAATTATGGCCTTTAACATTTCTTAGCACCAGTCAAGGTTACTTCTAAATATAGAATAGCCATGGCATCCTAGAATCACAACATACATATATAAAGACTGCTATCATTGTCCATGCCTGACCATATGCCATTCAAGAAACACGAAATCTAGAAATATAGACGATATCTATCCAATCCCACAAAGCTGGCGAATGTGGTAACATTCTTCGTTGAGTTTAGCAGGAAGCTGGCATCATGCTTCTTATAGAATTTACCTGGAAGCGTTTTAAGCTAAACGTCTTAGAGGCATTCAAAATGACCAACGGGGTAGAGCAGGACTGCGTCCTCGCGCCTATACTCGTCAGTCTCATGTTACCTACCATGCTGATAGACGCCTACCGTGACGAACGCCCGGGATCCGCATCGCCCACAGAAAGGAAGGACAAATCAACCATCGGATGATGCACTTCCGGTCATGTGTATTCCCAACCAGCGTCCACGAACTTCTCTTCGCGGATGGCTGTGCCCTCAACACTACCTCGGAAGGGGACATGCGAAAGAACATGGATCTCTTCTCTGCCGCCTGCGAGAACTTTGGTCTGGTCATCAACACGGAAAAGACGGTGGTCATGCACCAACCGCCACCCAACACTGTCCACAATGCGCCGCAACTCAGCGGGAATGGAACCCAACTGCAAGTCGGGGATAACTTCACCTGCCTGGGCAACACTCTCTCCCGCAACACAAAGATCGACGATGAAGTGGCCCGCCGGATTTCCAAAGTCAGCCAAGCCTTCGGCCGTCTGAAAAACACCGCCTGGAACCGTCACGGTCTCCCTCTCAACACCAAATTCAAGATGTACAAGGCAGTCATCCTGTCGACGCAGCTGTATGGAGCGGAGACCCGGACGGCGTAAAAGAAGCAGGTGCGAAGACTCAAACACGTCAACCTTAGCTGTCTCCGACGGGTATTGAAGCTGAGGTGGCAGGAGTGGATCCCTGACACAGACGTATTTGAACAGACGGGGATCCTCAACATCTACGCCATGCTGAGACAGCCGCAACTACGTTGGGGCGGCCACCTCGTGCGGATGGACAACGAACGGTTACCCAAACGGCTCTTCTATGGAGATGTCGCCATAGGCTCTCGCCGGAGAGGAGGTCAAGCCTGGCGCCACAAGTACACTCTGGTGATTTTCTTGATGTGCCTGCAGACTAACTCGTCCGGGACCGACTTGCCTGGAGGAGAGCAGTGAAGACAGGCGCAGCGAAATCGAACCCATCACCGCCGCCAAAGCCAAACGCGAGGCTCGAAAATTTCAACCGTGCCCACCCCGCAACGTCAACGCCCAACCACTCCCGACCTGCCCACGATGTCAACGGAAGTTCTGAGCATCAATCGGTCCTATTGGACACCTTCGCACCAAGTGTAGCACCCGGACAACCCTACCCGATCTCTCCCCTCCACGTCTGCCTCGTCCCCACGTCGACAGTCAACAGTGATCGCGCTCCTGTCCTCCCACTGCCAACTTCCATCCTTGCACACAATCCTGACAGACCAACAGACATCAACCTCATCCCGCCAACACCAGCGATGTGGACTCGGTTCATACCTGTCGTCATTGAAATTGCGCATTCACCTCACACATCGGCCTGGTCGGTCACTTGCGAATTCATCGCACAGAGACTTCCGAATCAGTGCCTGGAGCACCGACATACACTCGCCGAATCTGTCTCCACTGTCCGTACCAACCCCGCATACTTATCCGCCGCATCGGCCTATTAGGACACGTGCGCATTCACGATAACCTGCGGTAGACAACCTTCGGCTACACCACACCGTCACAGCTTCCCCCACCAGCACACACATTAACATCACCCGTCAACAAACAACACAAGCACGCAATTGACACCTCTCACGCAAGCGGAAAGTGTGCGTCTCGGCTCCGTCTCCATGCGGCTCCTCTGCTTCATGTGTGATCCGGTTCTGAGACTATCACGGTGCGTCAAGCACCGTGGCTTGGAAGGCTGCTGACTGACGCCCCAACTCAGTGCATGCAGTCTGCCCAGTTGTGCAAGTGTTCATATGAAGTGGTGGGCTGGTGAGCTGGGAGCCAGGCTGAAACGGCCCCTTCCCAAAGTGACCTACGGCACTGTCACGCATGTAAAATGTACGCCGCTCAATCCCCGTTGTGCAAAATCCTAGTGCTTGTGTTTGGGGGGGGCAGGGTCGTGCACGTGGCGCGCACAGACAAGGTCGCTAGATATGTCGGCCACCGCGCCCATTCCCCCCATGTGTCTACCGGCCGGGTCGGACAGTGGCTGAGGCATGGGAATGGGAAGAGAGAGTGAGGTCGACAAATTGACGCATTTTCCTCGCTAATGACAATCTGACGCGCCTGAACCTATCACGATGCGCTAAAAGCTGTGGCTTGAAAGATTACCAACTGACTGGATAACTTGGACCTCGCAGTCGGCCCAGTGTTGTGTGTTTGTGTGGAGCAGCCGACTGGTGGTCTAAGAGTCAGGCCGAAATGGCTCCTTCTTGATATGGCCTTCATAGCACTCCCACTTAATGGGATCCGAGCCAGGTGCAACGGCACGCCTAGGTACGGCTCTGGTCGCGCCAAACACCTGCGCCCAGGGGGGAGGGACTGCAGTAGATGCTGGTCAAGTCTACACTCACTATAGAAGAAATCACGCACAAGTCATCATCCCTGCTTCAACTTGATGTGGAGCACATGATGGACATCGTCGTCAGCGACGGCTGAGCTACCGATTGCTTAGACCTCGAATATCTTACCGGTTCATACCGCCGTTGACACGCATGATCTTGCAGTTGTCTGATTCAATAAGACTGTAATGAGCACACAAAATTAAGGGACCGCCAACCTTCAAGGGACAGCCCTTAGTGTACTCATCCCGACGGTTGAGGATCATATACACGAGAGTACTGTTTATAGGGATTACACTTGTTTCAATTCACAGTAACGGGGAAAAATATGTGAACATCCGAGCAACCTATCTGCAAGCGAAACGCGGGGTTATTCACAGAAAAACTAAGTGTTTACGTTAATGTTAGATTATAAATCTATCGATGTTACTTTTAAGCTGTTTACTGACTATGCCATCCAGATATCTGCGGGGACGACTTATGGGAAGTACACCCTAATTGAGAATGTGAACTTCCTCATATTCAGTCCTGCCCGTTGAATACGAAGTTTTGCTCGGTGAACTCCAGGTTGGGTTGTGGTGGTGAATTCAGAGAGGTCGTCAAAGTGTAATTAATTCGCAATATGCAGCGTTTGCCTATAGCTCAAATAAAAAAATGTTTAATTTGTATGGTGGATTATTTAAGGAAGCGAGTTTTAATCCCCGACTACTTTGATGGCATTTTTTGATACTTGTAAAAATCGTTTGAATTTGAATAGGCAGATGCCTCCAAATGTGTATCATATACCGCAAAAAGGTCGTAAAATGTCAGGAGATCTAGCGAAAGGGGTCTTCAACAAACTTTGCAGGGTTCTTATGAGGATGTTTAGCACGGGAATTGAGGCTTTTACCAACGTCGCATAATGAATGGGTGACATTAAGAAGTCGGATATCGACAGTCCTAAACCCCTCTGAGATTCCATATTTTGTAAGACTGTTCCGTTGAGAAAAGGGTGTTTTTCTGTCTATGGATCCGTCTGGGTGACGTGGATGAAGTTGAATTCACTGACGTTGAAAGGCGGATACTAATATTTTAGTCATCCCTTCAGGGGACTTAGATGGTCGAACGGACTAACTTAATCGGTAGCACTACGAATGACATTCGAACTCTTCACGACATCCACAAACATGGCTCTTTTGAAGTACGAACGTCTTGCGAAATCAGTACTAAATCATGGGGAACCGTACTTTGGAACGGTGAGCAACCAGACTTTTCCTGGACGGTAAAAACAACCCGGGGACGACCGGCGCGAAAGCTGTCGGTTCATTTGGAAAGTTCGCATTACTGCCCATTGTCTCGAGTTTGTACAACAGTCCTTGGTTCGGCGGTGTATCAAAAATTTTTCGAAAGTCCATGATGGTAACATGGCTATATCCATATCCTTGGGCGCACCGATGCGGTTCTTGTGGGATAAGAGTAAGTCGGACATGAGAGCTGTTCTTTTCCGGAAGCTATACTGACAATTAAATGACACTCTGCGGACCTCCCGGATCATGACTTGCGACAGTCGGGCCGTCTAGAACGACGATGTCCACCGTGTGTCCCAAGACATGGTAGGCACAGGGAAGGAGACATGCGCCTGAAATAGATGATGGGCTTGCGCGGCATCTATCGTACTCACCCCTCCTCGGCCACCTGGGTATAAAGTCATGATAGAGTCAAGAAGTCCGAAGGCGTGATCGGGTGTAGGGGACTGACACGATGTGAACCCGCACCTAGACGTGCTATCACATACCCTGGCCCACACACAAAGGACTGAGTTATCCTGTCAGTTGGCAGGTTTGCAAGCCACGGATTTTAGCGCACTGTAATAGATTTAAACTCTCCAGATTGTTTATAGTGAGGAATATGCCTGAGTGCTGTCAACCTCCCTCTGTCCTTTTCCAGACAGAAGTCAACTGTCCGAACCGGTCAGTTGTCGGATGCAGAAGCCATTAGTCGCCGAAGTCTGCTTACTCATTATGAGGTCTGGACTAGTGTTCTGAAGTGGGCTTCGAAGTAGATGTAGAATATACAGATTTCCGCAAAGCCTTCTACAATGTCCTACATTAACACCTTCTGCATAACCTGAGAGATTTTAACATAAAAGGAAAGCTTTTGAACCAGATGAGGGCATTTCTGATTGGTCGAAAACAATTTGTCTTCATCGGAGAAGATAATCAAATTGGATGAACTTGATTACTGGTGTTCCTCAAGATTCGGTTCTAAAAATAACAAAAGTAGTATTGTTAAATGCCAGAGAGGCTATGTGAATGCAAAATAATACTAGTTACCTCAACAGGAAACTTGATCTTGAGGCTGTCATGCTCGCGATGAAATAAAAATATGGATTGAAGCCAACTGTGCTAACGGGGCAAAAAAGCCGCAATCGAACGTTGACAGACTGAGCGTTTGGTTGGACAGGTGGCTTTTCAAGTTTACTGTGGGCAGGCTCGTGGTCCCAAACTTGAACATCAATCAAACGCTCTCCCAAACCACCAGTATTCTATTACTGGGACTACATTAAAGATGTGGGAACGCAAAGAGACCTGGACATACTGACGACAGTATATGTGATGCGATCAGAACACTGTATGGAGGTGGTCTAGAAACCAGCTGGTACTTTGCGCCGTGTTAAACGTTCGCTTAAGATATTTTCTCCTGAACTCTTCGGATGAACTTCTGGAGTCTTTGCAAAATCCCATTTAAAATACGGACTACCAGTATGGACAACATGGAGGAGGAGAGATGTTGGCCTATTTGAACAGATGCAACGTTAGGCGGCGAAAATGGTCGATAGTCTTAAGAGCACATCGTACCAAGATAGGTTGAGGGAGTTCGACTTATTCCCATTACATTATTTACAATTAAGTCGTAGTCTGCAGTGGAAGTTCCAGAGTATCGGCGGTCATGACTGTTCACTGGAACCAGAGGACTTATTTGAGCCTACAAGCACTTATTATCTATGCCGTCATCCCGCCAAGGTCAAAAGAGCACGCAGGCGAATGGGCCACGGAAACTGTTTCTTAAGTCAACGGGTAGGCCGAACACGAAACTCGTTACTAAGTGAGGTTGTGACGGCCACAAAACTTCTGTGTTTAAAGAAACATGTGGGGGCATAATTTTTAAGAAATCCATCTGTCGCAAGATGATTATTTACAGTCAGCCTAAAAAAAAAACGCTCCACGACCCGCATCCATTTTTGTAATAAGTCGCAATGGGCAG